CCTGCTGAATTTTCCTATGAAGCCAGTTCTCCCACCATCCAGTGTGTGAGTTCCCATGTGGATGTGCGTGTGTGCATGTGCGTCCGTCATGCTTGTGCTTGCACCTAAGTGTGCCTGGAGTTGCAGATCAAAGTAATAGCAAAGCAGTTTGCTCAGTGGGGTGTGTGAATGGAGGAGTTGCTGTGGCCTTGGTTACGGGGAGGATTGGTCGCCCCTCTTGTCTCCCGCCTCCCCCTTCCCCTCTTCCATATCCCTCCTAGCCCCAGGCTCCCTCCTCCAGGTTAATTTCCCGGGGCCGCAGCTCTGCCTCTATCCTCCCCCTCCCCCCTCCTCTTCCTCCCTCCTCTGTCCACCACACACATGGGCTTGAGTTATGTGCCTCCTGTTCTAATGAGATAAACAATATAACTGTCACGGGGCTCTGCTCATCCCTCTGTAAGTGGAACTCCAGGGCTGAACCTGTTGGCCCTGTAAAGGCACCCTGGTGCCTGTCAGCCCAGGGAGGAGGGCAAGCAAGGGGGCAGGAGCCCTGGGAGAGTTCTTGGGGCCATTTGCTTGTTGATACGAGTTGAAGCAGACATCAAAGGGAGGCCTGTTTCCACCCTTGTGGCTAAAGGAGCAAAGAGCAGCCTTGTCATGTCACGTGGGCAGAGAGTCCAGGCTCGTCTAAGTCAGCTAATTCATGATAATTAATAACTGACATTTGTACAATGCTTCATGGTTATAAAGAGCTTCTCCTTGAATATGAGCGAATCCCCACGACAGTCCTTGTAAGGTAGGTATTATTACCGCCCTTATCTTACAGGCAAAGAGACAGGCTCAGGTAGGTGTGGTGAGATTGGGGGTATGAGGATTCGCCCTTGTCCTCTGCACCGTGGAGCTTCTCCAAGCTACTAGAGAAAGTTAAAGAATGAAATAAAGACAATCCCTTCTTCTGGACATTCAAACTACTTACTAAAATGGACCCTCCTGGGAGAGTGGACCTGTAGCCACAAGCTGAGTGGCCCCAGGCAGCTGACCAACAAGTGTGGTGACCGCAGTCTCAGGGAGGGTGGAGGACTTGGACGAGCGCTGACAGTTTTGACCTCTTGTCACTCAGACCTTTTGCGTATGCTGGTCTGGACCAGTTCCTTCTCACTAACCTGCTTTTGGTCAGGTTGGAAATACCATGAAGCAGCGTGTGGGGCAAGAAAGAGCCTAAGACACAGAGGCTCCGGTCTTGGCATGGGTGGGGTGGGTTCTGTGCTCCGTTCAAGGGGTCCTTCCTGGATGGTTTGGATGTGGATGGAGAAGTCTCCTGGAGCCAGGAACAGCAGGGCCTAAGGGTCATTCACTTCCCGCCTTTCTGAGGCTGGTTCAGTTCTGGTTGAATTTATTTGATAAGTATTTCTTGATATGCCTGCCAGGCACTGTGCTAAGCATTGGGGATACTTGAGGTGGACATGGTTCCTGCCACCCTGGATCTTATAAAACCAGTGGAGATGACAGTCTAGTAAGCAGGCAGTTAATGACAGTGGCTTGGGAAAAATACAGGGAACCTTGGGAATCTACTGGAAAAACCATTAGACTAGTCTTGGTACATCAGAGAGAACATCCAGGCAGTAACTAGATGATGCTTAGACATCCAGAGGTTCTTTGTCAGCTATTGTAACAACCTATAGAGTTCTTAAAAAGAAAAGAGTTGCGCAATTCCCCCACCCACCTACATTTGGATTGGGTAGCTCTGGCATGGATTTGGTGCATTGGTGTTAATAAGATGTTCTCCAGGTGATTTTGGCTTCAGCCTGGATTAAGAATTGCTAATCCAAGATAAGTGGGATTATGGGACCAATTCTGGGATATGGAGCAGCAGCCCTTGTACTTGGCCTTCTCTGGGATCCTGGGGAACACCAGCCCCAGAAGTGGCCAAAACATCTGGAAGGGACTCTGACTCAATGTACCCATTCAGGAATTACGGGGTGAGAGGTGACATGGCCCTGGAGTGAAACACACCAGAAACATCAAACTATTCCCAGTGATGCCTTCCCTCAAACAGAGGTCAAAACTGGACCTCATATGGGAGCGAGACCAAGCTTATTTTTTGGATTCATCGTATCTTCTATAAATCAGTCACAAGTCTGGTCCTCAGAGCTCAAGGCATTCAGAGCTTCAGGATCCTCCTACTGTGCAGAAGACCTTACAGTTATCAACGAAGTCAAGTATTAGAAGGACTCTAGGACATGATGAGCCCTTAGCTCATAACATCAGAGATATTTCTGGAGCCTGTAGGCTCTATCACCCTTGATGGTTTCTAAGAATCAAAAGGGGGAGGGTCAGAACCTCCAGCTTGTTCACAGCCTAGCAACCTGTGGGAGCAGCTGTGTGATTAAAAACGAAACTTAGCCCATACAAAGAATTGGAAAATTTTGTTTCCTTTAACGCTGGTCCTCTGCTTTGGACCCAAATCTATGCATGGGTAGAGATGACAAATACAAATGAAAAATGAATGAATGGATGTGTAGCAATGAAACTTTTGTAGGTTTTTCTCTGAAAAATGCAAAAATGGAGCCGGTTTTTCTCTTCACTTTTAAGCCCCCCAAAATGGAAGACAGCAGATGGGAATAGGGTCCTGTTGTTTTCTACTCATGGTCCTAGGTCTAGGAAGTGCCCCTCTCATGGGAGGCTGCCTGTCTCTTACAGCTGTCACATGCCATGTTTACTACAGAAGACCGAGTTGTGACTCCATGAAAGTGAACTGGAACATATCCTTCCATTCCCTCCCTCCCTCCCTCCCTCCCT